AGTCAGTAATCCATGATCTAGTCAATCAGTAATCCATGATCTAGTCAATCAGTAATCCATGATCTAGTCAGTCAGTAATCCATGATCTAGTCAGTCAGTAATCCATGATCTAGTCAGTCAGTAATCCATGATCTAGTTCGTCTGTAATCCGTGATCTAGTTAGTTAGTTAGTAATCCATGATCTAGACAGTTAGTTAGTAATCCATGATCTAGTCTGTCAGTAGTCCATAATCTAGTCAATCAGTAATCCATAATCTAGTCAATCAGTAATCCATGATCTAGTCGATCAGTAATCTATGATCTAGTCAGTCAGTAATCCATGATCTAGTCAATCAGTAATCCATGATCTAGTCAATCAGTAATCCATGATCTAGTCAGTTACTAATCTATGGTCTAGTCAGTCAGTAATCCATGATCTAGTCAGTCAGTAATCCATGATCTAGTCAGTCAGTAATCCATGATATAGTCAATCAGTAATCCATGATCTAGTCAATCAGTAATCCATGCTCTAGTCAGTTAGTAATCTATGGTCTAGTCAGTCAGTAATCCATGATCTAGTCAGTCAGTAATCCATGATCTAGTCCGTCAGTAATCCATGATCTAATCAATCAGTAATTCATGATCTAGTCAGTCAGTAATCTATGATTTAGTCAGTCAGTAATCCATGATCTAGTCAGTCAGTAATCCATGATCTAGTCAGTCAGTCAGTCAGTAATCCATGATCTAGTCAGTCAGTAATCCATGATCTAGTCAGTCAGTAATCCATGATCTAGTCAGTCAGTAATCCATGATCTAGTCCGTCAGTAATCCATGATCTAATCAATCAGTAATCCATGATCTAGTCAGTCAGTAATCTATGATTTAGTCAGTCAGTAATCCATGATCTAGTCAGTCAGTAATCCATGATCTAGTCAGTCAGTAATCCATGATCTAGTCAGTCAGTAATCCATGATCTAGTCAGTCAGTAATCCATGATCTAGTCAGTGAGTAATCCATGATCTAGTCAGTCAGTAATCCATGATCTAGTCAGTCAGTAATCCATGATCTAGTCAGTCATGAATCCATGATCTAGTCAATCAGTAATCCATGATCTAGTCAATCAGTAATCCATGATCTAGTCAGTCAGTAATCCATGATCTAGTCCGTCAGTAATCCATGATCTAGTCCATCAGTAATCCATGATCTAATCAATCAGTAATCCATGATCTAGTCAGTCAGTAATCTATGATTTAGTCAGTCAGTAATCCATGATCTAGTCAGTCAGTAATCCATGATCTAGTCAGTCAGTAATCCATGATCTAGTCAGTCAGTAATCCATGATCTAGTC